GAAAATTAATTGAACCTGAGGAGAAGATCTTGGGAACCTGTGATTTATAGCCAGTTGGTCAGAAGTACAGGTAATAATCTGGACTTGAGAATGGCATCTTATGTGATGGTGGGTGGGTGAAGGGGGGGTGGGAAGGCAGTCTTGTGTGACTGAACCCTTAACCTGTGGGATCTGATGCTGTCTCTGGGCAGATAGTGTCAGAACTGAACTGAAGTAGGATGCCCAGCTGGTGTCAGGAGAATTGCTTCGTTGTATGGGGGGGACCCCCTTCCCTCCACCACAATTTGGAATCAGGTCCAGAACACTTATTTAGTTACTGAACCTGAGTCTTGTTCTTCATTTGTGCAAATAAAAGTTTAGTCCCTCTCTCAAGTTTGCTGAGAATTAAGGGAATTAAAATATATAAAATTGTGACGGTTAGTGGCACATACATGGTAGAAATAAACAGCTGCTATTTTTCTGTGTTTGTACTTTCATACTTTGTAAAATTTATCACTCATGTCATTTACTCATTTTTTTGTAATGAAAACTTAAAAGATGATAAACTTACAGTAATAATTAGGCAACAATAATTTTATATTCTATTACACATATTTTACATACTTGTGAAAAGATAATTAAGAAAATAAAATGACCTATCTAATAATATCTAGGTATAATCACATTAACTTTTTGGTATCGGTATTTTTTGGTATGTCTGTATAAATATATGCACACAAAAATATCACCTGCCATTCCAGTAAACAAGGAATGTTGCCCGCCATCAGCCACTGCATCAGCACGCCCCCACCCCAACCATGGTGCACCCAGAGGGGAATTCAGGATGGGGAAAAACAGGATACTGGCCCTAGATTGTTAAGATGCATATCTAAGGAATAATTTCAACGAGCCCAGACTCTTGCATCTTCCCATACATAGAAAACCACTAAAATCATTAACTTGAGATACGGTTTTTTTGTGATTAGCAGTTATCTTTTCACATTCAGCTACATATTTCTTTTTCAGCAAAAACTTATGTATATGTCCTGGGTCCTCCTTACCTTACCTCAGCAGTTCCTCAGCTACTGAGAGGTTGCCTCCCAGGCTGTAGTCCCCGTAAGGTCTTTGAATAACACATAACTCTCAACTTTTAGGTTGTGCGTTTTTCTTCAGACATGTTTTACACATTTTGTATTATGGCAGAAAAACATTTATGCTACATATAACTTTGAGTTACATATTTTTTCACTACATATAGAATGTTTTAAATAGCTGCACAGTATTCCATTGAAAGTTTATACTAATCAGTTAATCCTCTATCACTGCATCTATATAATACTTTATGTATACATAAAGTATTTATGTATAAGTATATAAATATAAATATATTATGTATACATTTATGTATATATATACACACATTTATAGGAATATGTATCTTTGCATGCTTATGCCATTATTTCCTTTGCAGAAATTTCTAGAAGTAAAAGTTTTCATTACCAATGATAACTATTTTGAAATTTTCAGTATACAGTGTTAAAATATTCCACTAAAATGTTCCGCCATGTAACAGACATCAATTTTCTTTTATATAATTCTATCAATTTCTTTTTGTGGTAAAACACACTTAACATAAGATTTATCATTTTAACCATTTTAAAGTGTATAATTCAGTGACATTAAGTACAGTCACAACATTGTACAAACATCATCACTATCTAGTTGTAGAACTGTTTTATCATCCCAGATGGAAACTATGCATCCATTAAGTACTCACTTCCCATTCCTGTCTCCCCCGCCAGTTCCTGGCAAGCACTAAATGCCTTTTTGTCTCTATAGATTTGCCTATTCTGGACATTTCATATTAATGGAATCATATAATATGTCACCTGTTACTTCTGACTTCTTTCATGTAACATACTGTTTTCAAGGTTCATGTTGTAGCTCCTTTGAGTACTTTATTCCTTTTTATGGCTAATATTTCACTTTATGGATTTGGTTTATTCATTCATCTGTCGATAGACACCCCATTTTGTTTATTCATTCATCTGTTGATAGACATTTGGGTTGTTTCCACCTTTTGGCTATCATGAGTAGAGCAGCTCCGAAATTTGAGTACAAGTTTTAATACCTGTTTTCAGTTCTACTGGGCATATACCTAAGAGCAGAATTGCTAAGTCAATAGTAATTCTGTATTTAACTTTTTGGGTAACTGCCAAACCGTACTCCACAGAGGCTGCACCACTTTACATTGCCTCCAGCAATGTATGAGGAATCTAATTCTCCACATCCTTGCTAACACTTATTATTTTATTTATTTTTATGGCCATGCTTTTGGTTATGAAGTGGTAAAGTGGTATCTCATTGTGGTTTTGATTTCTATTTCCCTAATGACAAATGATGTGCCATCTTTATACGTTCTTTGGAGAAATGTCTATTCAAGTCTCTTTGTCCACTGTTTAAATTGTCTTTTTGTTATTGAATTGTAATTGTTCTTTATATATTCTGCTCACTAGACCCTTAATCAGTTATATTATTTGCAAATATTTTCTCCCATTCTGTGGGTTTCCTTTTCACTCTCTTGGTAGCATCTTATACAGACTACTTTTAAATTTTGATGAAGTCTAGGCGCTTCCCTGGTGGTGCAGTGGTTAAGAATCCGCCTGCCAATGCAGGGGACATGGGTTTCAGCCCTGGTCCGGGAAGATCCCATATGCCGCGGAGCAACTAAGCCCGTGTGCCACAACTACTGAGCCTGCGCTCTAAGGCTGCGAGCCACAACTACTGAAGCCTGCGCACCTAGAGCCCGTGCTCCCCAACAAGAGAAGCCACCGCAGTGAGAAGCCTGTACACCAAAACAGAGTATCCCCCACTCGCCACAACTAGAGAAAGCCCACACGCAGCAACGAAGACCCAATGCAGCCAAAAATAAATAAATAAAATAAATTTTAAAAGATTTTTTGATGAAGTCTTATTTTGTTTTGTTCTTTGTATTTTTTGGTGTCATATCTAAGGCTCTGTTGCCCAAATTTGAGGTCAGGTCGATTTATGCCTAGGTTTTCATCTAAGAGTTTAATAGTTTTACCTCCTACGTTTTTCTTTTGGCACTTTGACTTAAGAAGGCGCTGCCTTTTTTTTTCTTTCTTTTCTTTTTATCAATTTATTTATTTATTTTTGGCTTTCTCTAGTTGGGGCGAGAGGAGGCTACTCTTCATTGCAGTGTGTGGGCTTCTCATTGCAGTGGCTTCTCTTGTTGTGGAACACAGGCTCTAGGTGCGTGGGCTTCAGTAGTTGTGGCATGCAGGCTCAGTAGTTGTGGCATGTGGGCTCTAGACGGCAGGCTCAGTAGTTGTGGTGCGTGGGCTTAGTTGCTCTGTGGCATGTGGGATCTTCCCGGACCAGGGCTCAAACCTGTGTCCCCTGCATTGACAAGTGGATTCTTAACCACTGCACCACCAGGGAAGTCCCAGGAACGCACTGCCTTCTGATCTCTGTGGTTTCTGATAGAAATCAGCTGTTCATCTTATTTCATATCCATTGCATATGACAGTTGGTTCTTGCTGCTTTGAAGATTCTCTATCTTTGGCTTTTGATAGTTTGAACTTTATGTGTCTCACTGTAGAACTCTTTGAGTTTAAAAAAGAAAAGAAAGTGATTTTAAGTTCTTTGCATATTGGCTCCGTTTGGGGCAATCCTTCAAACTTAGCCAGGCCATTTATAACAGTGCCTTAGGCTTCTTTTCCTGCTTCTGCTGAGCCTGAGTACCAGACAGAGGTGAAAGCTCATGTTCTTCTCCGTGTGTCTGTTGTATGCAGGCCTCTTGTGTCAGTCCTTTAGGGAACCCACAAATAGGTCAAAACAAACAATTCCTTGGGGACAAGATTTACTTTGCTCCCTACAGGTCCAGGTATCCATCCACACCACGAATACAGGCTGCCGCTCTGCCACAATGGCTGTGGGGGCAAGGCTAATTTAGAATGCCATAAAAAGTCTCCTGTTTTAGAGACCTTTCTCCTGGTCAGGTGTTCACTTTTTTTCTGTAAACCATTGACTGTCTTCCAGAGTTCCAGTAAGGTTGATTCTGACAGTTTTTGTCAGTTTTTTTAGTGCTCCTGAGGAATCCCCTGGAGGTATCTACTCCACCATTTTTGCTAATGTCACTCTACGAAGTTGTCAATTTTTACATATAGATAGTATAACTGGTCAGTTAACTTAATACTCTTATTTTTGGTGTTCACTAAAGTTGACCTCCATCTTTTGTTAGTAACTTTTTTTTTTAATGTTAGTAATTCTTACTTGATTCTTTTATCAGACTGCATTGGGAGTGTTTCCAGAACAGTGGTGAAAAATAATGGTATTGTTGCACTAGCACGTGCGTGCATGCGCAAACACATGCACACACACACACACAAACCCACCCGTCTTTTTAATGAGTGCTTTTATCTCTGGCTTTCAGCTGGACATATGTGGGATTTATTCAATTTTGTTTTTTTATTATGGTTCTTTTTCTTTTTGAAAGATATACAGATACAACTTAAGTCATATCATCTTCTATTTCTCCCCTTCTCTTCCCATGGATAACTGCTATCTTGTTATATATTATGCATATTTTCATACTTTTACTAGATGTGTATGTATCCACAAACAACACATACTCTTGTTTTGTGTTTTAGAAACAGATGGAGATGGTAGTATATATTTAAAAAAAAAACTTATAGGTCATGTTTTGTTTTTTCATGCTAAGGCAGTAATGAATTCCTGACATACCCAGGGCTCATATTTGAAATAGATGTTGGGTTTTTTTTTTTTTTTTTTTTTTTTTGCTGTACACGGGCCTCTCACTCTTGTGGCCTCTCCCGTTGTGCAGCACAGGCTCCGGACGCACAGGCTCAGCGGCCATGGCTCACGGACCTAGCCGCTCCATGGCATGTGGGATCCTCCCGGACTGGGGCATGAACCCATGTCCCCTGCATTGGCAGGTGGACTCTCAAGCACTGCGCCACCAGGGAAGCCCTAGATGTTGGATTTTTATGAAATATTTTTCTCAGCATCGATTTTGGCAATCATGTGACTTTTCTAATCTATTAATATATTGTAGCAGACACCCTCGGTTCCTTGCTGTGCAGAATTGACGTAGCTGACCTGAGACTGTTCTCCTTGGAAAGGCCTGCTGACAAGATGCCTTCCGCTGGCATCTGGGAACTTAGATTTTGGGAGGGTTCCCACTCTTCCCTATCGAGAGTGGCTCACTGTGCCAAGACTCTTCTTTCAAACAATATGGTTTGTCTTGAACACGTGTTTTCCTCTGGGATTCTGGAATTTTGGTATGTACTAGGATATGTACTAGGAATAGCCCCCCATAAAAGCCATGGGCACTGAGTCTCTAATAGGCTAACACATTTCACATGAGTTATTACAACTTGTTGCTGGGGAAGTGAGCATATCCTCTGTGACTTCATGGAGACAGGACTCTTGGAAACTTGTGCCTCGTTTTCCCCCAGACTTTGCCACACCTTTTCCCTTTGCTGATTTTGCCTTGTATACTTTCATGGTAATAAATCAGTTATGTGCTAAATCTTGGGAGTCCTAAGGAATCACTGAATCTGGGCGTCATCTTAGGGACCTCCAGCACACCTGCCAAACGTCCATTCACTTCCTTCTCCTTTTCTGCCAGATTCTCCAGACATTCCTTGGCTTGTGGCAGCATAACTGATGTCTGCCTCTGTCTTCACATGGTCTCATCTTCCCTGTGTGTTTCTTCTCAGTGTGTCTGGTATAAGGACACTCATTGGATTTTAGGGCCTGCCTGGATAATCCTGGATGTTCTCATCTTGAGATCCCTATAATTACATCTGCAAAGACCCTTTTACCAAATCAGATCACATTCACATGTTCATGGGGTTACGATGTGAACATATCTTTGGGGGGGGGGGGTGGCACAATTGAACCCACTACAAAGGAGTATGTGGACACGTGATTTTAAGGGGAAAAAATGTCCAGAGCCTCACTTCTATATGTCTTCTTTCCCAAAACTGATCTGTGTGGGAAGTCTTCTGCCATTCGTCTGCCAGGCTTTGTGCTGTGCTGGTTTTCCTTTCCCATATTCCCTTTCTCATTCATGCTACTTATACTTCACAGAAGGCATACCTCTCTCCATTTAGATTGTTATGTTTTACTGCCTCAGGGGCATCAAATAAAGGGACAGTTAGAAGCACTGGCCTTGACTTAAGGTGGGTGAACAACAGCAGTGACAGCATCTGGGCCCAGAGGGAATATATCACCCAAATGAACTTACTCTTCACTCCACAGGTCCTGGCTTTGAGGAGCAAGAGAAATCAAGTAAAGGATGAGGAGGAGGTTCCTGGAGTTGCATATGGTCATTTCGTGGGACATCCGTTACCTGAGACTGAGATTTTGGAACAGAAACTTAGGGCAGATCCAGAAGAGACTAAAAACAACATCCTAGTTACTTGGCATTTCCCAAAACAAGAAAATGATGAAGGCTCAGGTGACTTTTGGTTTGTTTTATTCTTGATTCCCTCATGGATTTCCAGAAGGCTGGAAAAAAAAAGCAGTCCAATTAAATGAAAAGTATTAATTGGGAAAAAATGGGCTCTGGGGAGAAATAAACTACCTTCAAAATCATGATGAAGTAGAATCAGGTATATATTGTTCGTAGATTTCGTACTACATGACCAATGTTGGTATATAATGTATGACTCTGCAGGTCCCTCCTGGTTACATAAACCATCAACTTGCATGTAATCTGTCAGCCACTGCAACCAGAGAATCATGATAAGTTATTTGATATGCAGTGAATCTGAGGAGAAGGCAGATAATTTCCTCAGGAGATGTCACTATTTCATGGTACTTAAGTCTTGGGAAATTTCTTTGATGGTTTCTTTCTAGAGGTGATAACATTCATTGTGTTCATAGCATTCTTCTAATATTGGTAGATATACAAGCAGGTTGTGTATGGCTGTTTCTTATATGATTATTCTGAGTCCTCTGCTGGACTAGACCAAGTAGAATTCAGTGCACACAGTTTTTCAAAAGACCACAGCTTGGTGACTTATATACCCACACTTGTTTTGGGCTGGTTTTATCCTTGAATAAAACCTAAAGTGCCCAGGAAAATGTAAGGTTTGCACAGTTATCAAAGGACATCTGTGAACAGGTTGTAGAATGGGTGTTTCAGTACAGATTTGGCCACAGGGAGTTATAAATTCTTGTTTGGTAATGGCTTGGGTATTTGAGATCCACAGTTTGCTTTAGAACTTTACCTTATCTCAGAAAATACAGAGCCCTTCCATGTGTTCAAAATCTAGTTATTACTGTACTTTTCATGCCCAAAAAAGTTAAATATTTTGTGTAGATAGGAAAGAACTAGATGTTGTTATATTTAATTGGAATAAAATTAGTGAACTATATTGAAAAGAAGAACTCATCTAAATATTGAAACTAGCAAAATAATAATCATCAAATTGATGTTTGGTCAGTTTAAAGCAATTACATCTAATCGTGGTACTGCTACTGTGCCATTCAACGAGGTACCAGTATTTTTGTGTGTGATGACGGTTATTATGTATTGACACTAAATTTAAATTCCCAAGTTGATAGAGCTATTAAAAATGAAATAATTGATCAAGTAATAAGGAAAATTTAACCAGAAAAAGTTCAATTGCTTATAAAATTTTGATAAATGAAAGAGAATACCCCCCCAAGAATCTAGTTGTTACCTCCCACCTCCTTATTGCCTTTATTTTATTTATTTATTTAATTGCCTTTATTTTAATTAAACAAATGACTCGTTGTGGTATAATTTTATATATATAGTCTTTGTCTCTGGTTCCTGCCACAGAGTTCCTAAAACCTTTGGAATTTCCTCAGAGATAGGAGTGTCTTTTTTTATCCATAACAAGCCCCTTTGAGCCATATGTGTGCTAATTAGGTGACTCAGGATGGGCCCCTAGAGAGCTTCAGGGTGGGAGCTGATCCCCAGAAAGACCAAGCCTTGATTGGAACTTCTGGCTCTACCCTCTGATCTCCGTAGACAGGAGAGGGGCTGGAGATTGAGCTCTATCACTTGTAGGCAGTGGTTTAATCAGTCATGCCTATGTAATGGAACGTCCATAAAAATCCCAGTGGGGTTCAGAGAGCTTCCAAGTAGGCAAACAGTCCACTTTCTGGGATGGTGACTTACCCCAACTCAACAGGGACAGAGGCCCTTGCACTCAGGACCATTTTAGATTTGGCTCTATGAGCCTCTTCATGTGACCATTCATTTGTGTCCTTCATAATAAACTATAAGAGTAAGCATAATAATTTCCTGAGTTCTGTGAGTGGTTCTAACAAATTATCAAACCTTAGCAGGGAATTTATGAGAACCCCCGAATTTGTAGCTAAGTTGGACACAAGTGCAGGGAACCTGGAATCTGGGACTTTGGACTGGTGGCTGAAGTGAAGGCAGTCTTGTGGGACTGAGCTCTTTAGCCTGTGGGGCCTGATGGTAACTCTGAGTTGTTAGTGTCAGATTAGGATTGAATTCAAAGACCAAATGTTAGGACAAAAGATGCTCCTAGTGCTTTTATCACCTAGGAGACTACAAGGGTTTTAGGAGTGTTAAGCCGGCAACCAGGGACATAGAACATTATATATATTTTCTATTATTTCACACCTTCCATTTCAATAATGAGAGAAACTCTCTTATCACATGGACTGTGTTGTTACAGGGCACATGGACTGTGTTGTTACAGGGATCGCTGACACTGAAGGATGTGGCCGTGGACTTCACATGGGAGGAGTGGCAGCTCCTGGACCCTGATCAGAAGGACCTGTACAGGGACGTGATGCTGGAGAACTATAGCAACCTGGTGTCCGTAGGTGAGGACGGCTCCCCTGTGTCCCTTGGATGGTGACTTTTCTTTCTTCACCTTCTGAAAGAGTTGTTGTGTCTGTGGTGCTCTGAAGTGGAAGATTTTCAGTCTCTTCCCCCCCGGCCCCAGATGAGAAGGTATAATCTCTCCGCGTTTTAGAGAAAAGCCTTTAATTTCCAAACATGCAGACCGTGCAGTCCCTAAAGTGTACCATTCTCATAGCATCACAGATCCCTAGTGCCATTTGATGAGCCTAAGTCTTCTGTTATTTCCCCCGAACAGGGTATCAAGTTAACAAACCTGATATACTCTCCAAGTTGGAACAAGGAGAACCACCATGGACCTTAGAAGATGAAGTTCACAGTCACCCCCATCCAGGTAAGTGAGACAGAACCAGCAAGAGGGGGAAGGCTGTGGAAATCACTTTCTAGTCCTTTAGAGAAGGCATCCCAGTAGTGAGGGTGTCTGAGGATACAGAAACAGCCTCCATGTATCCCTTTCCTCATATGAGAGCTCTTTTTCTGTGCAAGAACTTAGAGGAAAGTATACCACTTTATCTCATCTTGGAATGAATCCCTGTTTATTTCTTCTTAGATGTCAACTTTCCCCCTCCTAGGATTATTCTTGCTTGGTTTTTCAAATCCTCCCATTCTTCACTTGTTAGAGTATGATTTTATGTTCCTTTCACATCTCTTGGTATGAAATTCCTCCTTCCGTGTCTCTCTTCTCAGACAAAACTTTGAATTCATCATTGTCTTCTGACTCATACACCTTTCTGCTCCATTGTGAAATATTTATTTCCCTTTACGACATCCAACTGCACCTCAGGTGCTTTACTCTTGTAGTAATGTGGTCTCTTAATGTGTATTCATCTGCTTGCTTGACTTTTCTTTTTACCCCCTCTGAGATTCTTCAAAGGTTCTGTTGTCATCCCTCTGCTCTGTCTCATAGGCTATAAAACCTTACTTTATTCAAATGTGTTAAGCTTTTTGTGGAGACTTGCAATTGACATGTCCCTTAACACTGTCTAATATACCTGCTGGTACCATATATTTTAACCTGTCTCCATGGCAATTCCCAATGAGTTCACTCTTTTTGTGTGAGAAACTAGAACCATCTTCCCTCCCAGAAAATCCCTTTCCAACATCCTTTTTAAAATTGAGATTCTCTTGTACTTCTGTACATCTTAAATCCTGGCATTACCTTGAATCTTCTCTACCCTCTGGGCTCCTGTATTTAATGCCTCTGCTGTTCCTGTTCTTTGTGTAATTAGGAAAGACGTTTCTAAAATTTCTCATTCTCATTTCCTAGCCTAAACGAAATCATAAAACCTCATGCCCACCTTACTGTAGTTCCTTTTCATATTTGTTAATTAATCATTCTCTTAGTTAAACTTTAGATGTTGCTGGATTCTTTTCCCTAAAGCTATCTTTTTCCTCCTCATAGTCTGATGGCATTAAGTCCCAGTTGACCATATTACTATGACATAGAAATTTCTCTTCTATCAAACACCTAAGTCCCCACTCTCAAAGAGGAGGCAGAAATTTAACAAAAAGAGAGTTTCAGTTTTATAAGATGAAAAGATTTAATGGAGAGAGATAGTGGTGATGGTTATACACCATTGTGAATGCATTTTAATACACTGAACTGTACACTCAGAAATGATTAAGATGGTAAATTTTGTGTTATGTGTAATTTATCACAATAAAAATAAATGGGAAAAAATTCACAGATACTATGTCTGGTGGTGAAAACGACTGTAAACACCAAACCATCAGCATGGAAAATGACTAGAGATGAGGTCAATGGGGTCATAACTGGGGGTTTGCAATAGGTCATTTGGTCACATAGGGCCTTGTCATCCATTTCAAACACTTGATTTTCCTCCTAATGAGAAAACCTTTAGAAGGATTAGGGTATAGCAGTGACGGGATATAATTTATGTTTTAGAGGTATCACCTTGGCTATCAGTAGAAAATAGACTGGAATAGGCAGGTGTTGAAGCAGAAAACCAGATGTGAGACCTGGTTGTTGGTGACTTCAACCCAGCTTGAGGATGGTATGAGAAGATTCTGGAACAATAAAGACTGAATTTGCCACTTAAGTAGGTATGGGGTATGTTTGTTTCCTAGGTAACAAATTACCACAAACTGTGTGACTTGAAACAACAGAAATGTATTCTCACGGTTTTAGATGCTAGAATTTGAAAATCAAGGTATTGGTAGAGCCATGCTCCCTTTCAAAGATCTAGGAATGAATCCTTTCTTGTCTATTCCTCGCTTCTGGTAGTGGCCAGAAATCTTTGATGTTCCTTAGATTGTAGACACATCATTCCAGTCTTTGCCTCTGTTATTACATGACCTTCTTCCTGTATGTCTCTGTGTCTGTAGCCAAATCTCTGTCTCCTTAGAAGGACCCCAGTCATTGGATTAGGGTTCACTCCAATCCATTTTGACCTGGTCTTAACTTGATTACATATGCAAAGACGCTGATTCCAAATAGGGTCACATTCATAGCTACTAGGGGTTAGGGTTTAAACATGTCTTTGGGGGACATATTCAACCCACAATATGGAGTGTGAGAGGGGAAAAAAACAGACGGAAGATGATGCTAAGTATCTTTGATAGAAGAGACTAAATTTAGTGGGAAACAAAGAAATGTCTTTCAGAGCAAAGATTTTATGAGCAAAGCTAGGACAAATCTTCATGTAATATTTACAAATTAAGCTTTTTAACATGTGAAATGTTTCTGCTATCATTGAAGGCTGTACAAAATTCAAGTAAATGGTAAATATAGAGACTATTTCAGAAATTTAGAAGAAAAGTAGCCTAAAGTGGTATAGAGAGAATGAAGAGTGATAGTATCATAAAGTATCTTAGGTGAGAGAAATAGCTCAGTTTTGAATTAAGATGACAAGGAAACATGGCAAGAAACTGGAAATGTGCAAGGCCACGTGGGGACTGTCAAAAGATTGGCCTGAAACCAGCCATGTGGAGACCAATGTTTGAAAGTATTTGTTGGGGAGCTAGTGGAGTGGAAACTTAGATAAACTGGGTACATCACGGTAATGTAAACTTTTATCACCAGGCTTACTGTTGTGACTTTTATGTGTTAATAATAAAGGAGGCATGGTGGAGGTTAGGTTTTGTATATTCTAACTCTAGATAGTCTTATTTTTAACCTCAGTGGCAGCATTATAGAAATAATAAGGTATAGCCAGATGTTCTAAGAAAAACTAAAGATAAAATTGTCACATCTTGATTCAGGAGGAAGGTGGTCCTATAAGACCCTTTAATTAATGCCAGCAGAGACATTACTGTATGATTAAGGAAGAAGACGCTATTGTTGGCAAGTTGAGAGATTAGTATATCAGGGACAATGAAATGGGAAAAATTCCACTATGACATCCATACAGGTACAGAATAGTGAAGAAGGTGAGCATTCCCATGTCTGGTGCAGCAGATCTGCTTCTAAAAAAGACTGTGCCCCATTAGCCTGTTGTGAAAGTCCATCAGGATCATCATGTCCCTTTCTGTGGGAATGTATGAGAATGTGTCACAGCTCCATGCAAGGTTAGAATGTGAGATTGGTGCTTTGGGAAAGTGAATTTGATGATGGTCTACCTAATGAAGAAGAATGGCAAGTTTTATCAACAGGATGAGCACCCAAGAGTCTGTTAGAATTTTCTTGAAATCATGACCTCTATGTCCAACATTCTGAGTTGCCTCTTTGATGTATATGTTCTAACACCCACGTCTTCTTCTTTCTCTACCAGCGTGGTTATCTTAGGGTCTCTTCAGAGGGCTCTAGGAATCCCAAAACTCTATGTTGACTGACTAAAGCTTTCGTCTGTGCCTTCATCTTTTTTCAGTCTTCATGTTTCTCAGAAAGTGATCTCATACAATACTCTGACCTTAAATAATATATATTTCTTTGTTTTGGGTTTTTTTTTTTTTTTTTTTTTTTTGGCTGCATCGTGCAGCTTGCGGGATCTTAATTCCCCAACCAGGATTGAACCTGGGCCCATGGCAGTGAAAGTGCCGAGTCCTAATCACTGGACTGCCAGGGAAGTCCCCTTAAATAATATTTACATACTGATGTTTCCACATTGCTATTTTCAGTCAAGACCTTACTCAAGTCTTATCACCTGACTGGCTTTTCCGTGTCTGTGCTTGGATATTATCTCAAAAATGATATGTTTCAAAATGTACTTGGTTTCCCTCACATTCTGAACTTGGTTTCCCTCACATTCTGAAGTTCGGCAATATTCCTCATCTTGTTAAAAGGCACTACCCAACTACCCAATGGGTCAAGCCAAATACTCAGGCGTGCACTTTGATTCCCTCTTTTGTTACCTCTCCTCACATCAAATCCATTAGTGAGTCTTGTTTATCCTTCCTTCCAAATAAATCCTGATATCTTCCACTTCTTATTTCCTTTGCTTCTTCAAACCACTGTCACACTTGGAACTGCCTACTTTATTCCTTATCTTATTTGTTTATTGTTTCCCTTTCCACCCATAGAATATGGCTTCAGTGAAAGTAAAGAATTTTTACCCTGACGGCTGTTATCTTTTGGGTTGTTTGGTGTTTTATATTACTGTGTTTTTAACAATTTCCAAGAGACAGGAGTTAGTGTTTAATGGATACAGAGTTTTTCAGTTGGGGAAGATGAAAAAGAACTAGAGATGAATGGTCGTGATGGTTGTACAACAATGTGATGGTACTTAATGCCACATAAATATACACTTAAAAATGGTAAAATTTATCTTATATATATTTAACAACAATTGTGAAAAGTTTTTTTTTTAAAAAAAGATAAGGTACTTTTATACTTGGAATTTCTTTTATATTTGATATCATAGGTTTTCCATTAAAGAGCCAGCTCACTCCAAGGTATTTTTTTTAAGTGTTTATTGAATTTGTTGCAATATTGCTTCTGTTTTATGTTTTGGTTTTATGGCCATGAGGCATGCGGGATCCCAGCTCCCCAACAAGGCACCGAACCTGCACCCTCTGCATTGGAAGGTGAAGTCTTAACCACTGGACCACCAGGGAAGTCCCCCAAGGTATTTTTGAAGCAGTTTTATTCCATATGATACTCATGGAAGGGTTAATTGTTCTCTTTCCTAGAAATTGATAAAGTGGATGATCATATGCAGCCACACTGGCAAAACCAAAGTATACTGAAGATGTTGGAACAGTGTTATGAACAGAATGCATTTGAGAATATTATTTATCAGAGCAAAAGTTGTTTTCCTTTGAGGCCAAATCATGATGTATTTGATTTACATGGGAAAACTATGAAATCATATTTAGATGTAATCAACCTGAGTACAAGCTGCAAAAAAATAGAGTCTGCTGAGTTTAATGGAGATGGGAGATCCTTTCTCCATGTTGATCATGAGCAAACTCATACTGAAATTAAACATCGGGACATACACAAAATAGAGAACACCCACGAATGTACTGAATGTGGGAAAGCCTTCCTCAAGAAGTCTCGGCTCAATGAACATAAGAGAATTCATACAGGAAAGAAACCCCACAGATGTAGTGTCTGTGGGAAAACCTTCTCCAAGAAGTTCAAGCTCACTGAACATCAGCGAACTCACAAAGGAGAGAAACCCCATGAGTGCCGTGAATGTGGAAAAGCCTTCCTCAGGAAATTTCAGCTTACTGAACATCAGAAGACTCATACAGGAAATAAACCCCATGTATGCAGTGTATGTGCGAAAGCATTCTACAGAAAGTTCAAGCTAACTGAACACCAGAGAACTCATACAGGAGAGAAACCCTATGAATGTCCTGAATGTGGCAAAGCCTTCTTTAGGAAGGCAGAGCTCGTTATACATCAGAGAAACAAAAGAGGAGAAAAACCCCATGTATGCAATGAGTGTGGGAAAGGTTTCTCCAGAAAATCACAGCTCATTCTGCACCAGAAAATTCATACAGGAGAGAAATCTTATATATGCAGTGAATGTGGAAAAGGTTTCATACAGAAGGGCAATCTTATTATACATCAACGAACTCACACTGGAGAGAAACCCTATGGATGCACTGAATGTGGTAAGGCCTTCAGCCAGAAGGCATGCCTCATAGCACATCAGCGATTTCATACAGGAAAGACTCCCTTTGTATGTACTGACTGTGGAAAATCTTGTTCACAGAAATCAGGACTCATTAAACATCAGAGAATTCACACAGGAGAGAAACCCTATGCATGCAGTGACTGTGGGAAAGCCTTCACTACAAAGACAATGCTCATTGTCCATCAAAGAACTCACACGGGAGAGAGGCCCTATGGATGCAATGAGTGTGGGAAAGCTTTCTCCCACATGTCATGCTTGGTTAAACATAAGAGGACACACAAAAGAGAGAAACAAGTAGATTCAGTGAAGGTGGAATATCCTTCCACAAAGGGTCACAGCTTATTAGATACTAGTGAACTCATGCAGGGGGAAAACACTGTTAATATGGTGACTGTGCAGATGCCTTCTGCAACCCCTCAGACATCATTAAACATCAGTGGGCTCCTAGCAGATAGGAATGTAGTCCTTATGGAACAGCCAGAGGCCAGAGGTGCACCCTCAGGAGATAACAGAGAGTTTGTGCAGGAGAGAAACTTCATGAATGCAATGAATGTGGTTATGCCTTCAGTGGTCAATTATATCTTATTTTATGTCACAAAAAACACATAGGAAAAAACTGGTACATTCTATTTGGAAAAGCCTTGAGCAATAATGTATAGCTGATTATATGGTTATGTATAAAAAGCAAACCTATGAAGGCAGAGGTTAGGAAAGCTGTGTTTTGGAAGACAGATCCTATTATCAGTGATTACCAAGGTCATCAGTGAGCTTATAGTGTGTAAAAATATGAGAGTGGTAAAGTCCTTCCCTCAATAGGTGTCATTACATACTGGAGAGAAATTTGGAAGGCAGTGAATGTGGCAGGGTTTTCTGCCCCATCCATTAGCTGATGAAATCATATACAAATAAAACACTGTGAACACACTAATTGTGGAATATCTTACTAAAGTTCTTGTGAAGCAAAGCCTGTGAAAATGAGAAACATTCGAGAGCTTTATGTACCAATTCCCACTTCATAATACATTACACAATATACCTGATGTATATTTTTGGACAGGAAACCTTGAACAATATTCCTAGTTACTATGCTTATGATTCCATAATTTTAAGGAGAAAGACAGTCTACCCCACATCACTGGTTAAGGTTATCATGTTATACTCATTTCTCCTAATTGTGGATTCTTTTTCTTTTTTTAAAAAAAAAATATCTTCAACGCCCACCCAATATATGATTAGCTGCTGCATTTCTTAGGCTCTAAATTTATTTAAATATTATTTCAGACAACTGAATTCCCTCACAACAGAAATGAATATTAAATTCATAAATATAACTTAATGTCCTTGAATGAGCTTAAGTTCAATTTATAAATAAGACTAAGCATTATACCACAAAGGTCACTATAAATGTGATTTTTAAAATTTTCTAGACTTGAAAAGGTAGTGAAATCAGGTTTGCAAAATGAACTGAAAGCCCAAGGACAATTAGTAATTTAAACCTATAAATTAACTAACAAAATACATTCCAACATAACTCTTGGTAGTTTTCCTGAAAACATGAAAATAAAATGGGCAATTTGAACACAAATTAAGATGACTCTTCTTGCTTCCATCCTAGCTCTCTCTTCTCTGACTATCCAAATTATTCTCAGAATCCTGGGAATATGAAAATCTAAACTGGATAACTATTCAGCTGCATTCTTCCCTCTGGAGATAGCTCCCTGCCCAACCCTTCCCTTTGCCTCATTGATGGAATGGATATAGATGTCAGGAAGAATGTTGGGGTGGTTCCATTTCCTCTCAACTAAGGGACTCTCGAGTCTTACATGTTTGAGTGTCACATGAGGAAGAGAAAAGTAGATCATAATAGAATCAACTGTGGCCTGGTATCATACTTCACAGAGCTGGATCGACTGAATCAGATTGGGAATAGGTCAAGGAGCTCTGGAAGTGTGGGCTCAATCTGGTTCTAGACTGGAATACTATAGGCCTTTAACCAATCTGGCAAATACTTTCAGAATCTCTATAATTACTGAGCTGTAGCCAGGAGTAATGTCAGTAGGGACTGGCATAAAACTGATGTAGCATTAAGGTTCAGACCAAGTCTACTGCTGGAAAACTGGGATTTGAGGAAGAGCATGAGGTCAGGTCCCTTAGGGAGAAGCTAGGAGTGGAGGCATGTAAGTAGATGAGGTATCTTAATGGCATTGTAAATGATTTTTAAAAAACACATGATGTAAAAACTTAGAATTACTTGAAGAGAACATCTCAATTGTTTTCTTAAGGATTTTAATGTGGAATATATGAGGATCTTAGATCATGTATAAACATTGCTATATCAGTTTCAATACAAAGCAGAAATATAACAAATATCAAATATCATCTTCCTGAGTTTGTGCTCAAATATAAGGTCTTGAATGTAAGTTATAGTCTGTAAAATTTAGACTGTAAGCTTCATGAAGAAGTAACAAGTACTTCTACTGTTTAGGAACCTTCTGTTAACCCCTATATTACCAGATGTCTAGAATGTCTGACAGAGTAGGCACTCATTGTTAATTGGCTGAGTCTCATCCAATAAGCAATCTGGTCTTGCTCAACTAAGATCTAAAGTAGGATCAGAAAGGACCAAACTGTTTCCAAGTACCTTTAATGTATCTCAAAACAAACCTCAAGAATATTTATAGGAGTGCAAACACATTAATTAACAATGTTTGTCATCCAACCAAAAATTACCAAGCATGCATAAAAGCCAGAAAGTGTGACCAATATTGAGAAAAACCAATCAGAAGTGACCGGAAACTGACGATGCTAGATTGAGCAAACAAGGACAGTATGATAACTGTATAAAAATTTATAACTGTATTCCATTGGATCAAAAAGTCAGAGAAGTGATTAACATGTTAATTATAACAATGTGTAATGGGGTTTAAAAATATTTTATATGTTACATGTTCATATTTTATAAGCCCTCCCATAATATTGTTTCTTCATTCACTATCTTGAGAAGAGAGTGGAGGGCAGTTTGAGAGATTTCCACCTGGTGTTCCTCACAATGATACCTCTTACCCCATTGGCTGAGAACTCAAGGCTTTTCTCTTTTTAATAAAAGCTTTTATTAGCTTTTGTTCTCTTTGTACGTGAGTTTCTTTTGCCTTGTCATCAACTTCACTGGTCTTTTCTTTTGCATACCCTAATAGGTTAAAAAACTGCTCATGCTTTTTAATGCATGTATGTATCATGCATGCATGTATGTATGCATGTATGTATGTATGTATGCATGTATGTATGCATGTATGTATGATACATGCATGCATGTATCATTTTGGATAGTTTCTATTGCTGTGTCTTCAAGTTAACTAATCTTTTCTTATGCCATGTCTAATTGCCATTAATTCCATCAGTGTATGTTTTCTTTCAAATTGTAGTTTTTAATCTCTAGAAATTTGACTTGGGACTTTCTTTTTATATCTTTCACATCTCTATTTAACATGGTTTACTTTTAACCTATTCGTCACTTAATATTTAAAGTGGTTTTCTAGAAGGTAACATATAGTTAGGCCTTGCTTTTTTATCGAGTTGACAATATGTCTTTTTATTGGGGTGTTTAAATCATTTATGTTTAATGTGAGAATGTAGTTAGGTTGAGACTAAAAATGTACAATTTGCTATTCATCCCACCTATTTTTTTTTTAATTTATTTTTGGCTTGTGCTGGGTCTTCGTTGCTGTGTGTGGGCTTCCTCTAGTTGCAGCAAGCGGGGGCTACTCTTTGTTGTGGTGCACGGGCTTCTCATTATGGTGGCCTCTCCTGTTGCAGAGCACAGGCTCCTGGCACACAGGCCTCAGTAGTTGTGAAACGCAGGCTCAGTAGCTGTGGTGCACGGGCTTAGTTGCTCCGCAGCATGTGGGATCTTCCTGGGCCAGGGCTCAAACCCGTGTACCCTGCATTGGCAGGCAGATTCTTAACCACTGTGCTACCAGGGAAGCCCCCATCTATTCTTTGCTCCACTTTTCCTACCATCTTTTGGAGTAACTGAGTATGTCTTATGATTTATCTTCTTTGTTGGCTTATTTTATTTATTTATCTATTTATTTATTTATTTATGGCTGCACCATGCACGGCTTGTGGGATCTTAGTTTCCCGACCAGAGATTGAACCCTGGGCCCCCAGCAGTGGAAGCACGGAGTCTAACTGCTAGACCACCAGGGAATTCCCCATAATTTTGTTACTTAAGTGGTTCCTTTAGTTTACAGCATGTATCAATAACTTGTCAGTATAAGTATTATTATATATACCTCTTCGTGTATAGTGACAGAATCTTATAATAGTATACTTCCATTTTCTGTAGCCAGATTAATTTCATTGAAGAGACTGTCTTCTGGATGCTTCTGGGTTATGTATTTAGGGGATGGGTAAGCTGGTTTTACATGATAAATCTACATTAGCATTCCTAACTCCATATACTTTTGGATACTTTACAGAATATGGAACAAGGAATTTCTGGCATTTAAACTTTAATGTAGTTCACCTTTAAGTCAAGTTTCAGTCAACCAACCAAGCAAACTGTTAGAGCCATTCTCACTGAGCTCACACATAAAAGCCAGAATCAATTCATAGTAAGCCCATATTAAATTTACTTGATCCAAAATCATATTCCTTCCACCATGACCCCACAAATGTTTCCCAGGTTTCTACTGAACACATTAAGCAACATTTTAAAAAGATAAATACTTCATGACTACATTGGGTTTATCCAAAGAATGCAAAGTCGGTTAAAAGTTGTCTAATTTTATAAACAATGTAATTCACCACTGTATTAGACTGCTCTTGTTGCCATAACAAAATACCACAGTAGGTGGCTTAAACAACAGAAATTAATTTTCTCATAGTTCCAGAGGCTAGAAGTCCAAGATCTAGGTTCCAGCAGATATAGTTTCTGGTGAGACACTGCTTTCTGGTTTCTCTTCTTATAAATAAGGACACTAAACTTCCTGGAGCCCCACACTTACAACCTCATTTAACCTTAATTACTTACCTTAGGAGCCCCATCTCTGATTAAAGCCACACTGGGTCTTAGGGCTTCAATATGTGAATCTGAGGAGACACAAACATTCAGTCCATAATATTCCTCCACTGGCCCTGTCCCCTCCATTTCATGTCCCTCTTGCATGCAAAATACATACATTCCATCCCAACAGCCCCAAAAGTCTTAACTCATTCCAACGTTAACTCTAAAATCTATATCCAGGCCTTCTCTGGTGGCGCAGTGGTCGAAATCTGCCT